CATCACGAGTAGGAATTGTTTTTTTGCATCAAAATTTGAAACGATCTTTTTTCAGAGGGTTTACGATGCAGTTTCTATTAAAAGTGCAACGCGTGGCTGAAGGACGAGAATCCCCGAGAAACGCGTTGCATTTTTCAGCACCTTTAGCTGGAAAGACATATTCTCGCTTTACCGCGAAAATTTCATCCGCAGCCTCGTAGTGCTTCTCTCCTCTTCTTAAGAAACTGCTCGTCAAGTAATAGGGTGCTGCCAATGCTACCAGTTGCGTGACGGAGTAAAAGAGGACCGGGAGCGCGCCAAGCTTAATCCGGTCGCCGTAGAAAAGTTCCGCATTTGCGAAGATTTTCTCGCAAGCCGTCTTGCCGGCGTTTTTATTCGTCCGATGATTCACATCGACTCTGTCGTAATTCGCAATCCTAATAATCCTCGAATAATAATCCTGTTTCCGCAACCGCTATTCCTCATATTATGCAAAAAATTACCTTACAAAGAAAAGTAAAAAAAAGGATGTGTAACATAAATACATAAATGTGTGCGCGCGCGCGTGTGTGTGTGTGTGTGTGTGCGTAAAAAATTAGTAAATAAAAATGTTATTTTAAAAAATTATCCTGCGAAAAAAAATTATCCTGCAAAAAAGTGTCAATTTATTTTAATCGAGAGAATTATGTTACATTAAAAAAAAGGCTCTTACATAATGTTTTAATTTTTTACGAAAACAATAATGAGATATGAAAAATTACGCAAATTATGATTCCAATATTAAAATAAATATGTACAGCTATCAAATAACATTTTAATTTAGCTGAATATAATTGTAATTCTGGAATATTTACATTATAATGTAATGTTTACATTGTAATGTATATTATAACTATAATCGTGATATTTCGACACAAATATTTTCATAAATATATAATATATATATATATATATAATATTTTCATAAATATTTTCAAAAAAGAATTCTCCAAAATAAGAAGGAGAAATCTAGTATATTCTTGGAGTGTATAAGGAAAATAAAAATAATAAGAAAGGAAACAATACAAAATGAAATAATTTAATTAATTAATTAAAAAAATATTTAATACAAAAAACTTGACGCTGCTAAAAATATTATAAAATACTAGAGAAAAATAATCTTTCTTTCGTTTAAAATATAAGAAATAAAATTTATTCTTTATTAATAATATTACGATAGTTTTATTTTTATCTAATCATATAAATATCTTATTGTTAAATATGAAGGTGCGTAGATGCATGAATTATGTGAAAGAGTAGCTGCGTGAAATTTTATATAGAGGTGTAAATTTTGTATAGGGATGTATAGGGATATGTATAAATATATAAGAAAATGACGGATGTGTAGATATACGAATATGTATATAATAAGTGTGAAAGAATAAAAAGAATTGTGTGGACGTAGAGGTGTGGTGATTTAAGCAAACGTGTGTAAAAGTGTGAGATAGCAAATGTGTAGGCATGTAAAAATATAAACAAGTGTGTTGTTCACGATTATGATCAATAAAAAAATCGAAAGTTTCTCATCATCATTAAAGTCATCTAGCAATACAAAAGCAACCATACAGACAACGACATTTCTTAATAAGAAATTTACATCTCCGTCCTTAAAAGATAGAAAAAAATAAAAAACTTTTTATTTCAATTCGAGTTTGAATTATTGATTAAACATATCAAGAATTTGATTGATTCAAATGTTTCTGAAATTGGATAATCTCATACTCATAACTGGCCAGTTCGCATTAAAATATACTGTTAGTTTTGCGTGACGCACCTGATGCAAACCATTACCAGTTTTTCTTGATCAATCATCCAAACGATGATCTGTTTTTTATTAGCCGTAATCGTCTAAAATTCATCATAGAAACGAAGATAATATATTTGAAAAGAAAATTATACTGAAAAAATGATCTTGCATTCGTAAGAAAATTTTTAAACATTTTTAAACATGTTTTAAACATTTTTAACATTTAGAATTCTAGCTGGACCAACGAAATAATTTTTTGAGTGACATAACGATGAGTGTAATTTGATTTGATGAGTTTAAATTTTCTTGCATATATTGTTAGATATCGCTGCTATAAATTCTATGTACAATAGAAGATTTATTTAGCAGGTACAACAAGCAGCGATTTATTTTTAACTATAATATTTAGAATTCTAGCTGGAATAGCTGGAATTCTAGCTGCAACACTTTTTGAGTGTAGGATATTTCGCTTGTTTGATATATAGTAATTTAATACAAAAAATATAAAATATTGGCAAAATTTCTAATAGCTTAAAAAATAGCAATACAATTTCATAGAAGGCGCCGTCAAGTTTTTTTAAATTAGTTACTTCTACACTGTCTTTTTTTCAGCATCTATAGCTGAAGAGAAGCGGCGGTAAATCTGGAACACGCGGCATGTTCGCGAATAATCGAAGCAATATATCTTAAAACTTCTTTTTCCTTCGTCTCACATTTATAATATAACAACGGTAGCAAAGTTCAGCCAGCAGTTTGCTCGAATACCCTCGAGGCGGAATCAAAGATATATCATGTACTACACAGCACGTCGCTCATAAAATCAGAGCCGCTCCGTAAACGCGGTTGCCGCGACGGCGCATTTCGAGGTCGAAAAAAGCATAAGTGCTCAACTTGCAATCTGCGTTGTAATGTAACCAGATTATTCCGCTGTCGCATAAATACACGCGGAAATGCAATTGTTCATGCACGCTGCGCTCGCGTAGACTTTGTGAAATTGGCAGCCTTCCATGTTGCTACTCGCATAAAACAACGTACTACGCAACGCTAAAGAAACATATCTGTTAAGGTTGTTAAGAAAATCATGTAAAATATAATTTCGTCTTTCCATCTTCAATCTGCTTAAAGTTAAATTTTCGTTAATAAAATTTTAAATTGTGTGATAATGTGCCTCCAGCAAAATTACACTTCACAGACGCTGAAGCGCGTAGAAATGAGATCTTATTTTGGCAATCTTGTAGATTCAAGAGTACTTTCGTAGTATTTTCAACTAAAAATCATGCGAAAAGATGGTTATCAAAAATTTAATAAAAAAAAAGGGGGAACAAGGAGTAATCAGATTTTTATCAAAAATCACGCCTCCAAATTTATTAGAACTTTCGTATTTGAAAGGGGACACCGTGTAAACTCTCTAGGAGGAAAACCCTATATAAATCCCGAGAAAGTGGAGTACGTAATGACAGTTCAAAGTGCGCGCCCGAGGGCGCGCGCTTATTGGTTGTAAAACGAGAACCCCATCTGCCCACGATATGAGACACCGGTGAACCCTAAAAATCGACTCCTGCCCACCACCGATCGCGGTAATAAGTCACCTAGCCGACTCGGCCATGTACCCGGTGTACCTAAAGTACGAACTGTTCCATTAAGAAATTCTACGTAATGCAAACGCGACTCGATCGACTGTACAATAATCGTAAAAAAAAATATTATTAATGTCCCATATATATATCTAACAAATTCCCTTCTAAAGAAATTTGTGAGAAGATAAAATAAAACGTGAGGCTGAACACCGCAACTTTATACAACTATAATAGTGAATTAACAAATAACGTTTTGTACCTCGGTCGCGGTATATGATAATAGAGGATGCGTCCTTTTTCATTTTATTAAGACGAGATTCTCGCATTTCTCTCAAGCATTCTTTTTAAATTCTCATTACGCGGAGGTCAGCGTACAAAATGGAAAATAGCAGGGGAGGGGGAAAAAAATAACGCGACAAGTTTCGCGTTTGTCGCCGCGAGAATATCTCGCTCGTGATAACGATATTACCGGCACTTCGCGGAGCAGACTTAATTTCGTTGCGGCACTCGGATTAATCGATGGCGAAATTCTGTGGCGCCCGTAAATTCCGAAACGAGATCAACAACTTTCTCCCCGAACGTCAACAGGCTGGAAGAGAAATTCGTAGGGTTCGCGCAATCGAAGAGAAACGGCGAGGGGCGGCCGGGCCGGCTGCAGAGGGGGAGGGGGGGGAGTGCAACAGAAATTTTTGGCGTTTTATGCGAACGCCCGAGTATACGGCACTGTTTTTCGTGTGGCAGCTGGCTCGCATGGCGGAACAACACTAAATTTAAGATCCCGGACCAGCGCGGTGCAGGTCTTATCGGCGCGCGCTCGCCTTATTTTTAATAAAAACTACGACGGTGGGCGAAGGGGACGGTGCGAGATTAAAAAATTCACCGGCGCCCGGAGGCACTCGATGGCCTCGTAACTTAAAATTAAGAAAATTAGGAAGCCGCACGACCGGCTGAGCTCGCGAAACGCTTGTATCCTGTTTGTCGGGAATTTAATAGGGATCACTTTGCGAACGGCGCGTCTGATATATCGATCGCAGACGCGTTTTTATAACTTGACAAACAGTTGACTTCACGTCACAGTAGCAGGGAGATACGTTACGATATAGATCAATTCTCGCATGGGATACTGTGCGTCATATAATTAATTTTAAACGAGTAGTATATTTTACGTCCACGGGATAATATTAATTCTGCTATTAACGTCGCGCGAGCCTTGGTATTCGGTAGTTGCGAGAATTTTGCACGAAATGAACAAACTTGGTGGAACGGGCCAGTTAAGTTTTCTACTTTGTCTATCACGCCGCACGACAGTCGGAAATATCAAAAAAAAAAAAAAAAAAAAAAAAGATGAAGAACGTGGGAAATTACACGCAACAGCACGTAAAAGCGGCAACGGGGACGAAAAAGCATCGTGAGTACAACAAATATTCCTCGACGATATAAATAAACGATACAAATGTCCATTACATCATCGTAATACTATGGATAATTTCGAAATTCACATATCGCTCCATGTATCATTATTATACCGAATTCAAATGAATAAATAAGTTTCACAAATGTCTGACACAGACTTTCGAAGCCTTTCGCGAAACGTAATAAATTTTTTTCTTCCGTAAATAATAATAACTCTATAAATAAAGGAAGAAAGTCATTCTCACCGGAAATTCCGTCGTAGGTCCACCATTCCTCCCAGCTGGCTTCGGATTCTGTAAATAGAGACATAAAGGGGAACGTCAATAAAAATGTTATTTCCAAAGTGGTAATCACGTACTACTTTCTATTCGCGCAAACAATTCTAAATTACGGCATAGTGACGCGCGTACGCGTTTACACTTCCGGATCGGCGATAATCGCAATTTTCTTTCTCATCGTACATCTCGCCCGAGCGAGGTTCCGAGAGAGACGCCCGCAAACATACGTATCGGCGGAAAACTTTAGAGCTCTATCACGAATCCGTCCGAAGACGGCCGGCCGGCCGGTGCATCGATCAATTGCAGTTGTAGATCGGGGGACAATCGATCAATCGATTACCGCGGGACAGAATTCTAAGGCAGGCAGCCACGAATTGTGCCACGTGGTTTTATACGCGTCGAACATACCAGAAATGCGACAGGTCAACCCCGTGGTCGCACGTGCACATGCTCCAGGAACTCGCATCCTCCCTTCCCTCCTCCTCCCCCTCCCCTCTCTCTCTCTCTCTCT